CACACACACACACACACACACACACACACACACACACACACATCTTTGCAGAAGGTAACTCTTATCTTCAAGCTCTAGCTGCCATTTGACATCCTCTGGGAGGCTTGATCTGCCCTCACCCCATTCGGCAGTGCCTCCTCCTACAATTGGTTCGTTCCTTTTGCCACATTGTTTCTGGACTTCCTTTTTCAGGAGAGTCGTCACTTATATTTATTTACTTGTGCAAAAATGCTGTTTAGTTAGATTGTAAGCTCTGGAAGAGGATGAAGATCTTAGTGCCATATGGGTAGATATGTCAATAAATGTTTATTGAATGAAACAATGAATTAGGAAACAGATCATGGATTTTTAAAGTCTGACACACCTGGATTCAAGTGCCCCCTTTCTCATAACCTAGAGGTGTGGCCTTGGGCTTGTTATCTAACCTCTCTATGCTTTAGTTTTCTTATCTGGGATGATACTTGTACCTATCTCTAGATTGTAGGGAGATTTAAGGGATATATATAACACAAGTTAAGTAATGACTGGCAGCTACTCAATAATAGTTCCTTTATTTAGCTCTCCTTTCTTTTCATCCCTAATGAAAATTAAATAGATAAGAGGGTTATCAGTAATGTTTGTTCACTTAGCTAAATCCCATTGCTTAATAACTTTATAATACTTCAGGACTAAAGGAATCCTATGCTTGAGCCCATAAATATGTACTTATTAGCAGAACCTGCATGTGTTCTGCCATCAGCAGAGGGGACAGGGCCAATGAGTGGGGGAGTTGGGTTGTAAGAGGGCCATAGGATATCTGTAAGGCTTTAGGTTTGAACCCTGACAGGGTCCCTGGATCTCTGACCTTCAGCAAGTTTCTTAACAATTCAGTGCCTCAGTATCTTCAAATGTAAAGATTAACACTGGCATATGTGAATTTTCAGTACCTATTGGCTTTCAATAAATTCTTTGTATTTTCATGAGGAGGAGGATGGAAATGAGGAAGAAGAAAGGGAGTCATTGGATAATGGGAAAGAAATATCTAATTGTCAAGGATGCTGTTAACGATTAAGTATTATTTACATTAATTTATTCACATGTTCAACACATAATAGCTATGTTATCATATAACTACTATCACATTTTTATTTACTGCTGCGCATTCATTTTCTTAATCATCTGTACTTCCCCGCACCTCTCAGATTTTAAGCCTAAGCAGCCTCATGTCTCTGCCTTCTACCAATTCAGTGTCTCTACCCCAAACACATATTCCTTTGCATATTTTGCAGAAAAGAAGTAAATGGGGAACCAGATGTTTATTCTTCGTTTGACTTTCTGCTTGATTTTGTTAGCCTCTGTTCAGTTCTTCTTAGGTTATTAGAGTTAGAAAAGACCTTAGGCCTTAAATCATCCAAAGTCCCTCATTTTATACATGAACATGCCACTGTCTTCTCAGATTCCCTCAGCTAAGCTGCCATTCCTACATACAGTGACCTCTGAGGGCTTACAAAAACTTTTTAAAAAATATATATCCAGTGGTAACTTTACTAACCATTGTCACCCCAATAAACTTTAATTTAAAAAAAAAAGATATGTGGGAATCAAGTATGCAGAGATAAGATAACCTAGAGAAAGTCTACTCATTATACTATTTTACCTCACATTTTATTTGTTATTAAACATATGGTAATATTAAAACACTTTAAAAAAATATATATGTATGTATATATTCAGGGGTACTTCCAGGGAAACAGAATAAGACCTAGAAGTTCACAAGCTGAGGGGCAAGCCCAAGTCACCATAAAATTTCCCCTAAGAAGCCTGTGGCTCTTTATCACTTCAGGTCAAAAAATTAATTGTTTTGGATCCTAAGAAACGGCTGACTACCTTCCAAGCTCTCCAACACCCATGGGTCACAGGTAAAGCAGCCAATTTTGTGCACATGGATACTGCTCAAAAGAAGCTCCAAGAATTCAATGCCCGGCGCAAGCTTAAGGTAAGATGACAGATGTTTTGTTTGTGTTTTGAAAAGATTTCTCTCCAACCTTGAACTATGAGATACTTCCACCATGCTTCATCTAATACTATCATTCACCTCCTATGGTACCAGGCAAAATCATGTTTTGAAATCCCAGCAATACTGGTATAAAGCCACTTCCAGTCTTATGTTATCCGCTCATAAGAATTCATTGTTAATAAAAGGAAATGTGTTGTATGTTGAGATTTACTCACCAAACAAATACTTTATCACGGCTTCTCATTTACTTAAGCTGAACTGCTTGAACAGCATTGTTCAGGAAACTGATGTGTATTCAGATAGTTGTCTTCTTTCTGAGTATGGGAGAAATGAAAACAGTTTTTTTAAAACAATATTTTTTAATAATTACCATACTCGGTAAAATTAAAATATTCAAATGAATTAGAAAATTATTCACAAAATAATCTCTTTTATAGAATATATATGGAATAGAGATTAGGTGCTTTTCTCTTACCTAATATAGGACTAGCTATATATACAGGGATCTCAGAGAATGGCTGGAGGTCAATAGCAGTGTCCTACTCAGCCATGCCTTACAGGCTGATACAGATGGAATAAACCTGAAAGGTTCCAAGGTTAAATCAATTTGGAGTAGCCTGGATTAAATACCTTGACTCAACCCAGGCTTTCTCAAATAATCTGACCAGGGACCTCTTTTATCTCCATAATACCTATTAACATCCATGGAAATAGTGTTCCATGAAACAAATACTTTGGGAAACACAGCCTAAAGTTTTTGAAAACTGGTAACCCATGGACAAACTCATTTATTCAAGCTTTCAATTATCCAGGTGATTAAATACATAGGCTATTTTGAGATTAAAGATATTTTTCTGTTTATTCTCCAAACAAGTTTTCGCATAACAATCTTGGAATAATATACTTTGAAAAGATGAACATGAACATATAAAGCAAACTCTCTAAATGCAAAGTTGAAGTTGAGCTCTGATTTGGGATTTTAAGTGGAGGTGACACCTGACACTCTTCTGTTTCTGACCAGGCAGCAGTAAAGGCCGTGGTGGCCTCCTCCCGGTTGGGAAGTGCCAGCAGTAGCCATGGCAACATCCAGGAGAGCCAGAAGGCCAACCGAGAGCCACCTCCAATCCAAGATGGCAATGAAGATGTTAAAGCTGTCCCAGAAGGAAAGAAAGTCCAAGGAGATGAGGCCCAAATGGCAGTTGAGAGGGCAGAGGCTGAGCTGATGAAGGTGCAGGCTGTACAGGAAGTTAAAGCTGCTGCTGAGGCCACCAAGATGGTGCCCGAGACACTAGCGGACAGGATAAAGGTGGCTGACCCGGAAAAGGAGCAGGGCTCAGCAGAGGAGAAGCTGAAGACTGTGGAGGAAGCAGCAGCCCCCAAAGAAGGGCAAGGAAACCCTGCTCTGGGGTTTGGAGCTCAGCAGAATGATGTGATCCTGCCAGAGTACTAAACTGGCTAACTTCCATTCTGGAAGCCAAATCCTGGCACTTTGTGCATTTTGTCCTTCAGCAAGGAAGGTGTGGAAGCATGATATGCACTATAGTGATTCTGTTTTTGAGGTACAAAAAAAACAAAAAACAAAAAAAACCATATATATCAGTTGGTAATCCTAACTTCAATGCATGTGACTGCTTTATGAAAAAATAGTATCTTCTATGGTATGTAATGGATACCTAATACCAATGAGTTAAATTTGAAATTGCAAGTAAACACAAAATAACATTTAAATACATGCATTTTCAGGGACCAGTAGCACACATTTGAAGTAAATAGTAACAAATTGTTTTTGCTTTGAAAACCTAGCCATCCTATACCCTTTGGATTTCTTCACAAGGCATTCTTTTGGACTATTGCTCAGCTAGTAAGTACTAGGTAGCACTGCAAAATGTGTTCCTATGAAGTTCACATTTTACTTTTCATCAATGTGTTCAAATTGTTTACAAGGAGATGGTCATAGATTATAGCTGTATGGTATGTGCAAAAAATTCCACAATGGTAAGAAATTGAAGCATAATTGAAGGGCCACAAAACCATATACCCCAAAGCTTGTGTGGAGAACGCTTTTTTATTTTGCCCTTATTTATACACACTGTATTACTAATACCAAAAATGTTTTATCATAAAATTCTGCCATTTTGCAATCCTGGAGAAAGTATTTTACAAACTCACACTGAGGAATGCATTCTTTCCTTCACTTGCTCTCTAATGCAATGTCCTGATGGACAACACTTAGGAAGGAATAAAGGAATTTAGGGAAGAAAAGGAAATAACACTGGGACTTAGAATAACAAAATTGACTCCTTGTCATTTTTTTAGATAAAATTGGATTTATTCATGAGTTTGTACAACTTTAAAGAACTTTTTTTATATATATATAAATTCTATAAATACCAAGTTTCAAATATTTAGAAAAATCCCACCCCGCAGGCTGGTGCCAAAATGTCTGAATAGAGTGGGACTAGTATTTCATTATAAGATCATTATTAACTTTACTAGAGTAAGGTCACGTTTTTGTTTATAAAAGTCTCTTTTCCTTCAATTGATGGTAATTTAGATAAACTGTTTATGAACTAAAGATATTTCTGAAAAGCTGGAATATCTTTTTCTATCTTTTTCTCACACTTGGAATGGAAGTGCCCACAATTTACAATGTAGTTTTGAAAGTTTCCATGTGAAGAAATTTAGGACAGTGCAACTTTTTATTTACCTTAAAAAACAGAACAAAGCAAAGAAAAAACTCAGATTTCAAATCAGACTCTTGAGAAGCTGTAACATTAGACCTAATACTTTACTGTGATTTTTTTCAAAATATATTTCTTTGATTTTCATATGAACACTTTTCCCTTATAGAAATCACATTTAAATTCCAAGTACCTCAGTTTTATTTCTAGTTTGAATTGAAATGAACATTTTATGAAATTAAGTATGCATCACATTTTTACTATATTTCCTTAATTTCAAAAAAAACCTATTTTCAAAGAACTAAATGATAGACAATAAAAATGACTATCGCATAAAAATCCTCATCAAAGAATGAGATCTTAAATTCTTTTGACTCTTCTTCAAAACTATTAAATCAGAAAATAAAATGAAACCTCTGGTTTCTGGCAGCTACTGGACCTTGGTAGACATTCTGCCTTCCAACTGCAAATCTTCCTTTACTGCTATTTTACTGCTAGTCTCCTGAGAAAAACAAGGTAGGACTTTTCATCTTTCATAGTTTAGGGGCCTGACATGGAGGAAATAGCCCTTAAGGGCACATCATTTGGGCTCAGAGGAAGATTATTTTTTGTTTATTTATTTTCATTAATTAGTAAAGAGTACTTAGCCTATTCTTTCCTATTCCTTCTTTATTTTCTCTCAAAATTCCCGTTTTAACTATTATAAAGGGCTCACTACTTTTAACCTTTAAAAATGCCTTTATTACTAAGCATTAAAATTTCCATTTAAAAAAGATCAATTGCCTGGTGTCCTTTTCCCAATGAGACTTAGAGAGAAAGAGATCTTATTAGAGTGTGGCAGTTTGTTGGAAGAGCAGCATATACCGTCCCTATCAGCCTATGCCCATATTGCTCCAAGGGCAGTCGTTACATCATTCCAATACTCCGAGCTGACTTCAGTGGCTGGCCCTGTGGACAATGGGAACAACATTGGAAATTCCAGGGCCGATGTGTGTTTCAGAATTTGACCCATTTAAATGAGTACACATGTCTATTCCTTGGTGAGTACTCCAGGGTGTGAGGGTAATTTCCTCTATTTGTTTTTAAACTTGTAAATTGCACTGTTTAAAAATCAATGGAAGTTTTAAATTTTGACTTGTATGTTAAAGATTAAGTCCTGATATTGCCTAAATAGTGACTAATTTAGTCATTTCAGTGGAAAACTAGTCCAACGTTCACAAAAATTGGTCATTTCAGCCAAGAGAGTCAATCTAAGATTTCATAGAAATGCAACCTAAGTTAGGATAATTGGGTTACCATTTTGAAAGAATAGCAAACATTTATACTGCTTGTTAAAAAGGGATATATTATCTCTCTCAAAGATTATTTAGCTAAATAATGGCAGATAGAGTTTTAATTTGACAAGCTGCTTCATAATGTTACCCATAATATAGTCAAATTATATACGAGGTAAAAGAATTAAGGGAATTTCAGCAAAGCACAATAAATTACATTTTACATTTTAGATTTGATAGCTATCATATTACATTATTGATTTTTGTTTTCAGATAAATTCAGATGCATAGCATAACTATTTTACCATGAAGAAGGACAAGCTTCATATTCCCCATTTAAAAAGTCTAATTGGGGACTGGCCGAGTGGCTCAGTTGGTTAAGAGCTCGTCGCCAGTTCCATTCACGGTCTGAGCTGAGCTGCCGCTGAGCTGCCAACAGGTGGCAGGATGGCTCAGCTACAAAAAAAAAAAAAATGCTAATTGGAATCCCAGTGATTTTTCTCAAACTGTAAAAGCTAATTTGTCCCATGAATCCATAAATAAGCTAGAAATTAGAATAATATGGTTGTAGAAGCTATCAGCTAAAACAAGTGCATTCTAATATAAATATGATGCAAGCCACATACATAATTTTAAATTTTCTCTTAGCCACATTTTAAAAAGTAAAAACTAAAACAAAACAATAGGTGAAATTAACTGTATATTTTAATCCAATGTATCCAAACTATTATTCCAACATGTAATCAATATGAAAAATTAATGAGATATTTTAAATTTTATTTTTATACTAAGTTTTCAAAATCAGGAGTCTATGTTACACCTGTAATCAATCAAGTGCTCAATAGCCACACGCATGGAAACAACACTGTTCTGGAGCATATATTAAGAAAAATGACACATGAATTTCTAGCTTAGATGACAGCTGCCTCAGTTTCCCACACTGAGGAGTTGGTAGGAGGCCAAAAAGAAAATGTTTCAGAAACATACATTGAAATAAATAAAAATGCTATTGGCACCTTCTGCTGAGTCACGTGCTTCAGAGGAGTGTTTCCCAACATGATTTTTAGAGAACAGTGCTTTCCTGGGTATTGCTAAACTGTCTGTTGGCCATGGCATCTCTCCCTCTTGGGCCCTGGAATCTTGATTGCAGGCTGGGGTTTCCTGAGTACTGCCATGAAGCCAATAGTATTTTTCTGTACCCAAATGTACTGTGGGTGAACTACGTGTCCCCATTGAGAAAAGACTGCACATGATTTTCATAAGATTTTGTAGACCTGGGCGAGGCTGGACACCATCCTTGTGTTGCAAGCATGGGTCTTTCTAGAAAGCTAAATGATAGCAAATTTGCGTGATAAAGCTTATATGATGAGGACGATGACCCCCCCCAAATGTGAATATGACCATCGGCTGGCATTTTTTAGATTTCCTTAGGAAAGTTTAATGAACACTGCCCTTACACATGGATTCAACAGACTTTTGGAATTTTCTTACATTACTACTATTTTCAAATAATCCTCAAGGTTCTATAGCCATTTTTAGTGGCAGACTTAAAAAGCAAGAACAGTTTGCCTTTTACTGTGACCTCAATAACATAGCATTTTAAACATATTTTGTAATTTAGAATGTCTAGCAATCCCTATTTCCAGTTTCACATGCAAGGTAACTGTTGGTGGGTTGCCTACGCACTGAAGATTTAAAGAGAGCCATTTTGTTTCATAATCTAGTTTTTATCTCACAGGAGCATCTGGTTGCATTTCAAATTGGGGGAAAAAAGTAAATGCCAGAAAAGGCAAAGAATAAAATTAGTAAGCCATTTATTCTGTTTTACAGGATTGTTCTTGCAAAGCAAATGCAAAAAAAAAAAAAAGTCAATGAAGTGAATCAGCACTAGGTTTTTCTTGATGAAGGTTGACTCCACATATAATTGACATAAATATACTGAGCAGAGTCAATTACATAATTACAATGCCATTATGTAATTTACTTGTCATTGCAGAGTATTTTATAGACTACTTTAGATGGTGCAAGGTTTCTAGACATTTACCTGCATAATAGGATTTGTAATAGCCTTGTAATTATTTTCTATTAGGGCATAGTTTAATTTCCTTAATGTTCATCACTGATATGTTCCTGATCAGGTCATTGCTAACATTTACACACTTACTGGTTAAATACTGCTTAATGGTTAGGTTCTATGTGTGTCTTTGGTGTTTTTTGGGTTTTTTTAGCTGAGCCATCCTGCCACTTGTTGGCAGCTCAACAGCAGCTCGGCTTGGGCCAGGAATCGAAACAGTGACCCTGTTACTCAGAGCTCACACTCTTGAGTGAGCTCTTAACCAACTGAGACACTTGGTCCACCCTTTGGTGTTTTTTTTTAAACATTTATGCACATGTAATCTCAATACTGGTATTGTAACATTCATAATCACATTACAAGCAGAAATGTACCCAATAATTTTCTGCAATTTTCTTTTTTGAAGTCCTTTTCTTTCCCTGGCACAATTCAGGGTGAGTTTCTGGTTTCTTTACAAATAGGAAAAAAAAAAAAACAATAAAAAAACAAAACAGAAGACCACCAGAGAAATATCAGCTACCCACCCATGGTAACCAAGTTCAGCATTTCTTCTTTCTATATTCTGATCTATTGAGGACCAGTTTTGTCATTATTACTTCTTTCAGATATCGTCTGAGATCAGATAATATAATCTCAGCTCACGAAGCCCAACCATTGATATACTTACCTTGGAGATCAATACCAACTTGACTAATTTATGCTTGCTTGTTTAAAATTCCAATTTTCATCAATGCCTGTGATGTACCTGAGAGGATTTGAATGCGTGATTTTAACTTCTTTTGACACTCAGTTTTTCCTCTGTCCGCTGGCCCAGAGGTCCGCCTATGGCAAGATGAAAGCCTTGCCGTGACACTGGACCAGCTGACTCCTTTGCAGGAATCAGATATTGCTCTAGAAGATTCCAGGTATCTGACCTTGCTGAGCTCAAATGAGCCAAATGGAAGACAACCTCTTCCCATGCTCTGATGGAAAGTGATACTGTTTGAATATTGGTATATTACCATTAGTCAGTATGGAAAACGGGATTCCACCAACCATTTGTTCTTCCCAGTGTCTTGGTTTGCTTCAACTTGTCCCAGATCAATGTTTTGTTTCATCTCTCTGGCCATCAGGCTGCCCTCTAGGACTGTGAGAACCTCTCTAAAACCCTGAAAGGAGCATCCCAGACTTGCTGCAGAAATGTGGGGCCCTTGGTGGGCCAGAAATTAGTTTGAAACCCTGAACAGCAATGCTAAGACAGCAAAATCACACTGTTCTTAATAGTTGTTTTCAGCACATTTTGAAGAAATTTTGATGTGGACATTTAGACCTGGAAAACCCATGGATATAGAATATTTATATCCATGTAATCTTTGCTGTGATTCATTGTTAAAAGTGACAGATATTTTTGGCCGGCCAAGTGGCTCAGTTGGTTAAGAGCTCACTCAAGAGTGCGAGCTCTGAGCAATAGCATCACCGGTTCAATTTCCCGGCCCGAGCTGAGCTGCCGCTGAGCTACCAACAGGTGGCAGGATGGCTCAGCTAAAAGAATGACAGATATTTTATCTCAGATTAAATTATCTTTATTGTTCATTTCAAGGATTTTTTTTATTGTCCAGTTAAAGGATTATTTCAAGCTACTCAAATACAATAAGATTCACATTAGAATTTTTGTAAGATGTTGTTTTCCCTAAGCATTCTCACTCTGACAATTAGTCATAGATGATAAAAATTTACTGTTTTTCCTTTCCTTGATATATGTATAGTAGTTAATCTGGTTTGTAAAGGATTCAAGTAAGTATGACTATAAATTGAAAACTGTCATCTCATAACTGCCTCCTTTTAACCTGGCCTACTTTATAGCCTATCACATAGTTTATATGCAGTAACATAGAGTACAAATAGCATATTCACGAGTTATGATTTTGTTTACATTTTTATTGTCAAGGTTATTACTTATGTCAGAAGTTCCCAAGGTGTTTCTACTCATGCACCCTGCCTCAGTAAGATTTCAATGGTTCTCCTGAAACCAAAAGAATTATCTAATATGTCCATTTATTCCGTAGTTATGTCCAAACAACATAATAGTATTACTGCATTCCATTGTCCAAGGATGTTTTGTTTCTCTTGAAATTTTTAAATTTCCTGTAAGTTTACTGAGTGGGAATAGTAGACAAGAGTTTAAGTAATTCCTTATACCCAATGAACTAAGGGTGTCAGGGAAAAGGGATTATTGTTAAAGGAGTTAGGGGCTAATGTGTATATTTTTTATTATTGAAATGCCAATCATTCTTTTATGCATGGTCTTTGTGATATACATATAAAACATGTGCATTTTTT